CTGATGATCATGCTGAGTAAGTAGCTGGTGAGTTTTACTGGGAAGGGCCCATCTGTCCTGCTGGCAGAGGTGCACAGCAGCTCTAGAGGAGAGAAAAGCTCTTCAGTGCTGAAGCAGGGTAAGTGCAGAGTGGTGAAGCATATGAGTGAGTCATGGTTAACCATCACCCAGCTGCACAGGCAGCTTTTGCAGCAGACAGTGAATTCTGACTATTCTGCTTTTGCCAGAGTTTCTAGCAGCCTTGAAGCCAGTACAGGGACTGGAGGAGTCCTACCTTATCCCAGAAAATATGCTAATTTTGAGTTCTGTGCAGAGAAGGATCTCCAAATTCTAAATTTATTCAAGAAGCATTTTCTCAGCCACTTTTAGCTCAGACAGATGGTCAGTTTGAACCTTATACTGTAGCATCTATAAATCTTTGTACTGAACAAAGCAGTGTCACGCAGTGTGTAATTGGAAAACCAGCATGTTTTCTGTTCTTTGTATTCTTAATGTGTTCTTCAGCCTGTATAATTATGGGGATTGCTTATCTCAGCATGGGAGAGACATTTGAGAGATACATACCAAGCACGATCTGGATGTGTCCAAAGGAGAGCAAGGGAGCTGGTGAAGGTCCTGTGAGGAGCGGCTGAGGGAGCTGGGGGTGTTTAGCCTGGAGTAAAAGAGGCTCAGGGGAACCTTAAGGCTCTCCACAACTTCCTGGAAGTAGCTGGCTGTCAGTCTGTTCTCCCAGGTAACAGGACCAGAGGAAACGGCCTCAAGCTGCCCCTGGGGAGGTTTGCATTGGGAAAATTTCTTCAGCAGAGGATCTGTCAGACGTTGACAGTGGTGAACCGGTGTTATGTTAGTGGTTGGGCTGGATGTTGGTAAAGGTCTTTTTCAGCCGGAGTGATTCAGTGATCCCGTGAGCGGGGGCCATTTGGGTGTCAGTCGGGCAGGCCGGTGTCTCCTGCCCGCGTGTCACACAGCAGCAGGGCCGCCGTGTGCGGAGCGCTGCCCAGGGCAGGGAGCCCCGGCGTGCAGCGCCCAGGGCCGGCCCCCCGCCCGGCGCGGTGACCGCAGGGTGCCGCGGGTTAATGGGCGCGACCCAGCAGCGCCCTGAGCCCCGCGGAGCGCCGGCCGGGCCCGCTGGGCCCGGGTCAGCGCTCGGGGCCGGGGCCAGCCCTGCGGAGCTGCTGCACTCTGAGTGCTGTGCGAAGAGGCTGGGAGCAGCACCCGTCAGCCACATCAAAGAGCGCCGCGTAAACAAGAAATGAGTCACTGGTAGGAATAAGATAAACAGGGCAGCATGTGAACTCAGGTTTGTTTTGCATGGTGGGGTGGGATTTTTTTTTTTTTGTTATTCCTGTGCTGGAATTCTTGGACTTCCATTCATGGATTTATTTAAACTGTTGAGTATTTGACTGTGTGAAATGGCCTGACATTTCTTTTCAATCTCCTTTAGTGAAGAAGGTCGGGCAAGAGGATTTTTCCTATCTATGTGTTGTGTATTAAGTGGAACTATTTCCCAGCTCTAGTCCCTCTATGATTAGTAATTGGGGAGTATATTTAGATAGAAATAATCCTGAGCTTGGACCACTTAGAGATTAAGAGGAAATCAGTTCTAGTTCTCTCTAAGCTTCTTGTCAAGTACTGAAGAAAACGCTGTGATATGGATTAGTAGCTTTGATACAGGTTTCCCTTTTCAGCTGAAATAGTTTGCTAAAGATGGTATCTGCTGGTTTCCTGAATGCCTGTGTTTTCCCATGCTTCTAATTCAAACTGAACATTTCTGTTTGCCTTCATGAAACAAGATGCCTGGCTAGCTTGGTGTGATACTCACTGACATCACTGCTCTGATCGTGTTCAGCCTGATGAACTGAACCTTCATGGCAGGGCAGGTGCACACAGCTAATCCTGGGCATTGTCTTTAGAGCACAGTCTGGGTGCAAATGCTGTTTCAGTGGTGCTTGGCAGGAACTGAAGGTGGGAGGATAATTCTTATTTTCAGTCTGTGGTAGGATTATGTGTTAATGTTAATGTTAGTTATTAGTGACAGACATCAGGAATTGTTAACCCAATGAACTAATTTCTTTTGTAGGCAGGAAGATGCTTTGTAAGGTTTTCCTCTTTTCTCAGGTGGAAATTAGTGAAGTAGTGGCTCTTTTTGCCCTTCTATAGCTTCTTATGGGTTGGGTTTTATGGCAATCCTATTTTCCCCTTTGAGTGTTGTATTTCTGTCTTTACAAATATTCTTAATTAATCTCACTGTGAGATACTACATAGCAGAGTACTATCTGACATGAGGGCCCCTTTGAGGGCCCCTTTACAACCGCTTTTAATGATTTAGAAGATGCTGTAAAAACTTATGAGTCCTGAATTGTTGGAGGGGTTGATTTTTGTTTTTTTTTGTTTTTTTTTTTTTTTTTTACCTGCAATAGTAGATATTTTCCCCTTTTACATATGAGTGTTGTATTTCTGTCTTTACAAATATTCTTAATTAATCTCACTGTGAGATACTACATAGCAGAGTACTATCTGACATGAGGGCCCCTTTGAGGGCCCCTTTACAACCGCTTTTAATGATTTAGAAGATGCTGTAAAAACTTATGAGTCCTGAATTGTTGGAGGGGTTGATTTTTGGTTTTTTTTTTGTTTTTTTTTTTTTTTTTACCTGCAATAGTAGCTCATTTACATGTGAGTTTAACTTGTTGGTTGCAAATTGATTTCGGTGGCTTTATGTGGTTTGTTTGGATCACACTTGGAATTATGAATGGGATCAAACGAGTTACCCAGTGTTTAAAATTGTGGTTTCCTTTACTTTCGGAAGCTGATGTGTTTCACCAGAGTGATAGCCATTGGGACTTAGGAAATGGACTGTTGCAAAGGAGTTAATGTTTTTCTCAGGCTATTTTTGTCGCTCAACCTGTGGCATAGTCCTGGCTAGTACAAGTTAATTCTCATGTGTCCTTAATCATAGATGAGTTTGTCCATCTGCCACATATAAATTTTCAATATGTTCCAACAAATGTCAGTTCTGCCCTAGGTACAGTGTAAGACTCTGCAGCTGAAGGAAATTTCTTCATCCCTCCTATTAAAACTTGGTCTTTAACCTATAGTCTGCCTGCACGACACTTATTTTGCAGTGATTTTACTGCCATAAAACCAGTGCATACAGTAGTTCAAAAAGACATAAATCTATGGCTGTGGGGCAGAAGACAAACTTAATAGCTCTCTGTCAGCCTGTTAGTTAATACTGCCTGATCTGGTGCTGAGGGCTGTGGTTCCCAGGCAGGAGCACGAGCTGCTTGCTGTCGTGGGCAGCCCCAGGAGCAAATCGGGACCTCCTGACCCAGGGGCAGAACTCTGTCAGGGTGACATTTAACACTTAAATGTAGTGTGTGCTGTCACATCACAGGCTGTTTCTTGCCAGCCTTTCTTGTCTCAAAGCACTCTGTGATTTTCAGGTCTAGTGAATAAGCTGATCCCTGTGTGTAGGGAAGGTGGTGGCTGTTTCTTGTCTCAAAGCACTCTGTGATTTTCAGGTCTAGTGAATAATACTTTGCATCAAGAAATGAGATACTAACTTCCCTGATTCTCATTTAAAAAGTCCCTTTTTTTGTACTGAAGTTTCCCTTTTCTCACTGACCCTTATGTCAGGGGCGGAGTGTGCAGGAACATGGCAGAGAGGAGGCAGTCAACCCTGCTGACGTCCAGTACCAGATATAAAATGTGTATGCAGCCAAAATATTCCTCATGTCAGGAAAGACTGTGTCATGTACTTTGTGAAGTAGAGACAACGTGGGTGTCTCTATGTCACTTCTGTATATGTTGATTTATTTAACTGAATTTTTGTTTCCTTCCTTTTCTGCATTATTTGATGCTGAATCATATACAGTGTATGATATACTGCACACAACTGGATAAGCTGAACTTTATTTTTCCCCTTTGTTAGTTCTTAGTGTTTCAAAACATCTTCCATTTAAGATAAGCTGAAAAACAGCGGAAAATTTTTTTGTATGCTTGAAGAGTTCATGCATTGAAATATTACTGAAAAGAAAATTGAAGATGAGTTATGATTTATCACAAGTTGTGAGTAATGTGAGGGCTTCTTTTCAAATGACAGTAATTTAGATGTAGTAATGTAGACAGTAATAGATAACAAAACACAAGTTCTGATTCTGAATGTATTGTGTGATGATATTGGCATGGCCCTTTCAGGGAAGACACTTCAGTGAAGTGTCTGCTCAGGGCTGGAGGAAAACAGTCAATGACAGCTCCTTTGCTGAAGAAATTGCCTTGAATTTCTAAGGCCTCTGTTTTGTATTGGATGGAGAAGAACAACAAAAATTTGACTGCACAGATGAGTGGACTAATTGGATATATATCTGTATTCTAAAGTACCTCAGTCAATGGTTTGACATGTTTTTGTATGGTAAGAGTACCTCAGAAGCTATGCTTTGTACCTTATAAGGTGAAATCCTTACAAGATGATTTTATAGGAACATAAATCTGGAATACGATATTTCTGCTGAAATATGTCCAACCTTACATCCAATCTTAGACACTTAACTCATGCTGATCAAACAGTGCATAGAGAGTATTGTTGAAACTACCATAAACATCACCTACTGCTGGGATTTTTGTGGTACAAGGCGAGTTCATGATGTCTTTGCTCTTAAGGCTACTTCACTCTTAAGTCCACACTTACATTAGCTTTGTTTCTGAGGCTGTTCTTGCTTCATAGATTGTCCTGGATGATTTGCTTTCTGCTGTTTTCTGGCTTATAAATGTTATTTCATGGTGTATGGCTAACTCCGAATTTTGTTGTAAGTGAATCGTGGGTTTTTTTAATGTACAGACACTCAGTTCTTTGCAGTGGTAGAGCAATGAAGAAAAAAATTGTACTCGGTCTGTTTCAGGCTTTTGTGGGAACATTTTTGCACTGATACTTGTCCATTTAATAACTGAGTCACCTCCTGTCTCACTTAAAACTGTCTCTTTTTCCTTCGTTGTGATAGATCTCTGAACAACAACTTTTTTACGTGAGTTGACAGAAGAGGAGAAGAGATGGCCAGCTCAGCCCGAGAGCACCTGCTCTTCGTGCGCCGTCGCAACCCGCAGCTCCGGTACACCCTGAGCCCCGAGAACCTGCAGAGCTTGGCCTCTCAGGGCACCATGCCTGAGAACATGAACTTGCAGCGTGCCAACAGTGACACTGATTTAGTGACCTCGGATAGCAGGTCTAGTTTGACAGCCAGCATGTACGAATACACCTTGGGACAGTCTCAGAACCTCATCATTTTCTGGGATATTAAGGAAGAAGTAGATCCGACTGACTGGATAGGACTTTATCACATAGGTAAGTCAGAATTGTGTTGTAATATTTCTGCCTGTTTCTTGCTATTTTGCCACTTCATATTTTCTTTTCTGATATGTGTTCTGGCATGCTACAGAACTAATCTACAGATGAAGTTGAGGTACAACTGCAGAGAGTTGCCTTGGGTTCCTCTTTGCTGTTCTTTGTGCAGTGAGCTATGTAAAAGCATGATTCTAATTAATGTAGATCTGGTTCCACAATGATGTGCTAGAAGATGAAATGTGTTATTCCTAAACAATAAATATGCATAGTTTCCTGTTTCCAGCTTGGCTGGTGGCTGGCTTACAGACTGGAAAATTTCATACTCATCATGTACCTTGATGTGCTTATAGTCCAATGCTTATACCTTATCTTAGACAAGTAACCTCTTATTGTTTGTTAAAAGCAAACAAATTATCATTTGTATAAGTCTTTGATTTTGTAGAACTGAAATATCATCAGTTCTGAAGGAGTGAAAATTTCTGTTTACGAGGAATTCTTGTAGAAGGAAATCCTCTCCAGAGATTCTTCTGTGTGGTTTTCTTTGTGCTGTTCAGGCTGTTTCATAGGAGGAGCTGGAAAGAGCTCTAGGCTGCCATGCAAAGGCCTGTGGGTTGTGTGTGCATTAGCAAATAACGTGATTCCAAAGGGGTGGATCAGTAGGTCAGTTGGTGCTGAGAGCACCAGTAACCTATCTGGGCTGAGATTTTCATCTGTGTTGTGTTTAGTCAAGGATGCAAATGTCCCTGCTGCAGGTGTGGTTTTGAACTGTTCACAGGACAGCCTTTGTGTCCCAGCTAGGAAGGGAGCACAGCCAGTACCTGGGGCAGCACATGGGGTTAGTCGCCTTCTCAGGAATCTCTTCACGTGCACTAAATTCAACCAGTGCTCACCAAGTGGGACTGGTGGGTTCATTTGTTCCAAAATTGTGCTGCTTCTCTGGATCTAATGACTTGTGTAGAGAGAATGGTCAATTCAAACTGCCAGAAGCAGCTATAGCAGAAACTGATGGAGACAGTTCTGACCACTGAAGTTACATCTGACTGGGACTAAATGTAGTGCAATGAAACTGGCCTCAGTAGGATTTTTGAGAAATACTTGCTGTGTCACCTTTTCCCAAGATGTTCCATCTCTGCATCACTTAATGTTAAATTCTATGTAGATGCTATTTCTAGTTCTCTTTTTTTTAAGTCTGATTTTTTTCTGACATTACCGTAGTTCCACAAAGTCGGCATTATTAACTTGTGCTGTTCCAGTGCATACTTGGCAATAAAAGCTCTATTGCTGCATAAGCTGCAGTCTCTCCTTGAAAAACTGTGGATGTGCACTAACTTTCAAGCCACCTAAATGAAGTGTCTCCATAATAAACAGTAATGGATCTTCCCAACAGCATTAGCAGCTGAAGTGTGATCTGTGCTGTAAAATGCACAGACTGCTAAATGAGCTGAAACATTCTAATTTAAATACATCGAGAGCTTCATCTGCATAAAGGTATAACAGTCTTTCTTGTTGTTTTTTTTATGGTTCACAGTGCTTCAAGATTGATGTTGAATAAGCTAAAATGCAGCATCTCTGTAAAATTCTTGTTGGTTCTACCTCTAGTCTGAAAGTGATTTTTATATTATTTTCATGATTAAAAATATTTATGCATTCAGTCTGTTGAGTCCCTAAAATACAAAAAAATATTAAGTTAGTACAGAGTAAGAAACCTGTAAGGAACACCCAAATTTATGCCTTCTTGGGCCTAAACCCCCCATTATACAACCAGGTAATACCAGAGTATGTGAATGCTGTCTTGTTAAATGGTGGAAGGTCCAGAAGCTTTTGTCTCCATTGCCACTTGAAATCCGTGAATGGTGGTGTGAATTTTGATGGTGGTTTCATCATTCTGAATGATGAAATTGTACATTTTTTAACAACAGAGGTAAGGACATACTCAGTCTGATAGGCATGCCTGTCTGTCTTTGATGTAAATTTTTTTATCAACTCTTTCAAGTGTTAACAAAACCTTTTAATTTGCATAACTTTTATAGCCACAGTTATGGTAAGTTAAATTCTACAGGTATAATCCAGGATTTTCCATCCTTTATGATAATAGTTAAGAAGTACCTCCAGTTTCCACTTACTCCTTTGTAAGTTGAGCACACTTCTTATTTTCTCAGGAGAGGCATGCTAGTTGGTGAAGATTTTTGAGAATAAAAGCTCTATTCTCAAACATGTTATTAAAATTCATTGTATTTGCTTGAGGTTCTTCATCCTAGTCTTTGTTTAAAATGAAAATTATTTCATTTAAGTCTCCCCTCGGGCACAGGCTCCTGAAGGCACTGGGAATTGTGTGTGGTCACTAACACAAGGCAGCACTGGGGCTCTGCCAGCTTGCTGCTGTACCTCCAGTATTCCCCCATGTCTTCTAGTAAAGCACCATTTTTCAAGGAGCTAGGAGCAGAAAAAGGCAAATATTGTGCTCTTATTTTAAAACACAAAAGCACAGTCCTATGGCTTCTTTTTTTTTAGTGTTGCTTGTACAATTAACTGTCGTGCAATCTGAATCAGTGTTTTGAGAGGAAAAAGTGGTTGTTGATTCTGTGAAGAGAAGGTGAATATTCTAAAATGAGCATCATTATGAGTCAGGCATTTACACAAAGAGGTTTGGCAAGGGTCTGAAGCAATCCAGGTACATTTTCAGCTGAAAATAAGTTTTGCAGAGTTACAGCCATTATAAAAGGAATTGAAAATGGAACGCTGGAAGATGTCTTGCCTCTTCATTCATTAATTTTCTCAAGTAGCATGTTCTCATTAGTTTTCTGTAATGAGAAGGCAGTTCTGTGCTTCTGTGTGTGGCTTTATTGCTCAGTTAGAACTGCAGGGGCTCATGAGGAATCCCACAAAAGTTCTTAATAAAAGTTTCTTTATAAAAGTCTGAGCAGAACCCACTGCACACATTCACCCAGCATGGACTGGTGCAGTTGGTAACAAGACTGTCAGCGATCAGAGTCACTGCCTCTGCTGTTAGTGCTTTGCAGGTGATTGATTGGCTTTCACTAGGGAATAGTAGATGGAGCTTTTCCCAGTACAGTACAACTTCAGTGAAGTGTTTAGCCTGCTAAGTAGTTATGAAAATAAATGTTACCTTTTTAAAATGAGAAAAGCCCAAGGGGAAAAACATAGAATCATCTTATTCTGAAGGACTGATTTAAATTTTTTTTAAGTGCATATGAATATTTTTTGGGAACTTCTGGTTATTTTATTTTTTAAAAAAAGGAAGGAAGTCATAAATGAACAAATGCTTTGTAGAAAAGACTGTATTTTATGAGACATTAATTCATGGGATACTCCTGCACAGAAACTTTCAGTCTTTCATTTTTTAAATGCAAGGAATTGAACCTAACTGAAAAATTCTACATAGCTAAATTCATGCTCAGATTTTCTAGGATTTTGTACTTTAAAGAATGTTGTTAGATATGTATATGAGTTCGTTCACTTGTAGCATACTTTTATCTTCCTCGCTTTCATCAATATGCATGTGAAAACATGGCCAGTTTTCTTGCTGAGGAGCAGCTTTGTGCGCATGTTCTTTTTCTTTCCCAGTGTATTCTTAAGGATTACCAGAAGAAAAGTGTGTGTGAGGGACGTGGTGTATTCTGTGAAGGCAAACATCCTTTTTCCTGGCTTTTTCTGGATTTGTACTGGCTGAACTTTTAAAAGTGTCAGTAGCACTTCTGGAACAGTCTTGTCCATCAAGTTTTGTTAAAGCAGCTTTCTGTCTGCAGAGGAGATGTGTGGGAGTGCAGATAGCACAGCTGTGAAAGCACAGAGGGTCCCACCGAGGCTGCGTGCAAGGCAGAAATGCTGTTTGCTCTCTTTGGGTGAATCGGGCAGTCTTGCATGAAACGTGAAATTGTCAAATCTGAAATGCAGGTTTATCATTTTGGATTCAGCTTTAAGCTCTGCCTAGAATGGACCTGTCGTTTTTTCTTCAGGACTGGTAATGAGGATTGTCACTTGAGAGTGACAAGCATGATGAAATTTGAAGAGGGAGCTTTTTAGTACAGATACTGAGCCTGTGCTTACTTTGAGAAGTAGAGGTAAATTTTCAGTCTTTCTGTACTTACAGGGAAGGAAGAAATCCTCTTCTCAAAAATTCTCGGTTTCTAAGTAGGATTTAGACTGAAAATCACTATCTTTTGAAGTTGTAGCAGACTTCAGAATTTAACACACATCCTCTTAAATCCATAAGGTTTTCTTGCTCAGTAGCAACCCAGCTTTTGCTTTGTGTATGCCTGTTTTAAAAATTATTGTTGTTACAAGCAACATTTAATACATTGGAGGTTGTTTTTTATTTCCTTGATTCATGAGGAATCTGTATCTTGCTATGGCAGGAGTGCTCAAGCTCTGGAATCCTGTAGTGAGTAAAGTTGTGCCAAATACTGGCCCCAGTTGGAATCAAAGAAGATAAATGGATATTCAGTTTGAAGGAACTATGAGGTCCCAGTTTTCTTGCTACTGTGTTATTGTAGCAACAGGCTTCCAGGACTTCCTTGGAAAGTGAGGGCTGCTCAAAAAGATGAGCAGGTGGACTCTCCACTACTCCTGGAATGCTGAGGGAAGTTGCATCTTGATAAGTTTTACGGGTTGTCATGAAGTCTCATATTAAAAGAAAACAGGAAGTACAAAATAAGGAATAAAAAGTCAGCAGAGAGAAGCAAACCCTATTTCTGGTTAAAGTATATTATCTCCCATGGCCAAATTGCACATGTTGGCCTATTTTTGTCCTAATTTACAGAGTCCTATTTATGCTGCCTGCCCTCATTCTAGAGATCCTTAGCACATTCAGAATGCTGGCTGTCAAAGGTCATTGTATTTGTTTCCATTAGCTGCCTTAGAGAAACTGCTTGGCTTTTTGTTATACCTGCATCATGAGTCCAAAACAGAATTATAAAACCAAACAAAAATAAAAAGAAACAAACCCGCCCACCCCCGATGTGAATTTATCTAGGGCAATT